TAGTTTCGTTTGGTAGTCTCCCTATTAGTCATCGGGGCGGTCTGTGCGTTCTCGAAGATTTTCGCATTTCGAACACGTCGCAAGAATACCGACAATACCCCCTCTAGCACCTCAACGAGAGGGCTGCACACATTAGAGGTGGCGTAAATCGGTTTCTCGCGACGTGTTACCCCTATATCTGATAGAAAATTGACGAGTTTTGATGAAAGATTTCTGCTTAAAAGTTGGTGTGTGTGTGTGATAGGCGTGTATAGGACACGTATAATCAGCGCACTTTCTCTTTCAACTCTAGATATCTCGACAGCGCGAGGGATCTAGAACGTCAGAGTAGTTGCAAAAGAATCGCAGTAGGCGGTTGCCTTAGATGCGAGATTTTGAGAGCTTTCTGAGATTTTCGAAAGTTGGCGTGTGTGTGTGTTTTTGTTTTGAGTGTGAGACGTGTCCTAACTATCTGCTCTTATAGCTTATAGCTCCACAGCGCGCACGCTGCACGTCTTAAAACTTGCTGTAATTAGTTTCTTGTAAGGGATTTGTATATATTTAACAAAAATTACACCTATTCTAGAAAACTTGACGTTGGTGTATGTTTGTAAAGTTACTTACTAGCTTAGTATTACTTAGGTACTTGGCCTCTACCCCTACCCCTACCCTACCTCTACCTGTTTGCCAGTCTAACTATGATGCGTACGAGAATGCTATGTGTAGCCTTAAAGACGAGTAGACTGTTGTGAAAGAGTTGCGTTGATATGGGTCTATTGGTATACTATTTAATGTTATTGCGTCTATCTGTACGCTCCCTCTCTGTACAGCAAGTAACCTAGTAGGCTAAACATAGCTAATGACAGTGCAAATATAGCAGATATTCCTACTCAACGTGGCCTTTAATGAGTTATATGCGGCCTACTATGCTGTTCGCCGCATAGAGAGGAAGGTTAGGAAGGCTGATTAGTGGACTAGGGTGACACAGAATGGTGCCCATTTGTAATCACTGAGAGGGAGGAATGTGTAAAACACGATTCTGGAGATGACAGAAGCTCTGATGGTTTGCTGGAATATGTATATCAGGTGCGGGTTTCAATGACAGTAACAAATTGTTTTAGTACTACAATGCTGGACTGCTATGCTGGGATAGATATAGAATTAGCTCGCTTCGCAATCTTTTGCGCAAGCTGCGTGATTGGCACTGCCTCCAAAATATCAAATATAGCGACCTGAGCATCAATCTCACGGCGGATCCAATTGCGCACCTCCATGGCAACTAATGAGTCCACTCCGTATAAGTAGATTGGCCGACTGGGGTCGATCTCGACGCTAGGAGTTTGCAGAATGTCTGCAGCCTTGTTCACAAGCGCTCCCGTGATCAGGTCTACGGCCTGTTTCATGGACGTCACGACGGCCAGTTGAGCCTTGAGGCTCGCGGGCGCTCCTCCTTGGGTTGCAGATGCACTTCCGGTGCTAGAGCCTACCGCTAAGAGCGGACTGAAGCGAGCATCGTCAGTGAGATAGTCTGGTCGGGGGACGCCGGCGGCATCGAACGCCTCGGCTGTACCCAGACCGACACAGATCTGTGTGGTAAGGCTTGACGCAAGATTGCTTTGCTCCTGGTCGCTGATTACTGCCTTCATGAGAGCGTGGAAAAGCGGCTCTCGGACGCCGATGACCTCCTCCCAGCGTTTCAAGTCGCCCTTGGAGCCATTCTCCGCAATAACACCCACATCGAGCATGATACCAAGATCTAGACTCACGCATTTGAGTCCCTGGCGGCGACGATGGTGAGAGATTGCATCCTGAAATGCGGCACCGGCTGAGTAGTTGGCTTGGCCCTTGTTTCCAATGATTCCGGAGATGGAGGACAAGTTGATGAAGAAATCGAGTTTATGGGTGTGGTCAAAATACTGGTGCAAGTTCCATGTCCCTTGAATCTTAGGACGAGTGGCTTCGACCCACTGTGGGTGTGTCATGGTCTCATAAAGGCTGTCGCGTAACAGCATAGCCAGTTGGAACACGCCTTTAATGGGAGGGAGTTCTCCGCTGCAGCGGTCAAGGACTTGGTTCAATGCATTCATGTCAGAGATATCGGCCTGATATGCCTTGACTGAGGCCCCGAGTTGGACTAGCTCGTCGACAACAGCACATGAGTCTGTACTTGATGCCCCAGAACGAGAGACGAATGCAAGGTTCCGAGCGCCCGAACCTACAAGCATTCGAGCAAGACTGCGACCCAGTCCTCCAAGACCACCTACAAGAAGGTACGTGTAGTCAGGACTCAGCGTAAGGAAGTCCTGCGAGTCTCGTAGGACAGTAATCCCTGGATTGCCTTGAAAACTGATCACCAGCTTTCCGAGGTGCTTGCCACTCTGCATCATACGGAATGCATCCTGGATCTGGTTCACCCGTAACACCGTAAGCGGGTGTGGTGACTGCAACACTCCCTGGCGAACCAATTCGAAGGTGTCGCGCGTAGCTTGTGCCATAACTTCAGGCGCCTGCTCCACTAGATCAAGCAAATTGAAAGAGACAAAGGTGGCACTGCGAGAGAAAGGCCTCATATCCAGTCGCATATTGTCGAGAGCGTCGCGGCTGCCAATGTCTACCATGATCCCCAGTGGCGCGAGACAGTAGAAAGAGTTGCGGAGCAACTCACCAGCCAAAGAGTTGAGCACGCAGTCAACACCGCGACCGTTAGTCACGCGCTTCACGCCCATTGAGAAGCTCGCGTCGCGGGAGTAGAAGATGTGTTCGTCTGGGATCCCGTAGCGAGTTTTGACCAGATTGCGTTTCTCTGTCGAGCCGACCGTAGCATATATCGTCAACCCTAAGTGTTGTGCTAGTTGAACAGCAGCTTGCCCAACGCCACCAGCAGCAGCGTGGATCAGAATCGACTGGCCCCGTCGAAGTCGTGCGATGTTGACCAGCGCGTGATATGCTGTTGTGAAAACCACCGGCATCGCAGCTCCAGCTTCAAATGATATGCTGTCGGGTATGGCTGCGCACATGAAATCTTTCGTCCTGGCGAAGGTCGCGTGGGCGCCAACGACATGAGCACAGACACGGTCCCCAACCTTGACACTCTTGACCTCCCTGCCGACAGCCGTGACTGTACCGCTAGCCTCGTATCCTAGCTCAGTCGAAGCTATGATCCCCATGGATATCATTATGTCTCGGAAACTGAAGTTTATGTTAGCTCATGCCCATCCTTAGCCGCTGCGCTAGACTTCTGTATGCAGGAATCCCCCAAGTATGGGAAGTGGGGGCAATGGACTTACTTCATGCCCGATGCCTCTACACGAATCTCTACCATGTCATCCTCTAGTGAGCCAGCTAATCCAGTGTGCTTCTCAAAGTATAGAGTGTCCAAAAGACCGGGTTTCTCGATAGCCAGCTTGACGGGATACTCGACCTCTCCGAGCGGCTGGATGTGAGTCTCCTTGCTCATGAGTGACGCAATTTTTGTATTGATGATTGTTTCCTGGCGAATACGGTTGAGCTTCACCATTCCGTCCTGTTCTACGAAGAACTCGGTCTCCTTCGTGTGGCAGCAAAAAATTCGTGCCGTAATGTGCGCGCCGGTGCGGTCATCTAAGATTTTAGGGTCGAGATGAAGCAACTGAAGCCGCTGTCCAACACTCTCACGCCGAATGGACCGGAGCAGCCCAGCAGCAATAGACGCGGTAGGTTCAGAGAATCCAGTGATCCAAATGAGGCTGGAGGAAGTAAGCGTAATACTTCTAATCAAGTCAAAGTTGCTGGCTGAGAGATTCTCCAGGTATGAATTCTCGAGCTCAAGCAAGCTGACTATGTGCTTTCCAGCAGCGTCCTGGAGAATTTGCGATCCCCAACCATCGATACGAACTTCAACGCCGTGAGAACGTAAAGCTGCAGTCAACTCCACGGTAAATGCCGCCACGCGATTGCTTGGATTAGGCGGCTCTAGGATGATGACTTCAGCCCTTTCAGGAAGAATGCCATTTATGTGGGTTGCTGAGTAGACTTCCACAAACCCGCTTGGTTTAGCCATTGAGAGCGTACGAGTCAAGCCGTCTGTAACGCGGGGTGTTCCCAGATTAGTGCCACATATAAGCTGGCCAGTGGGTGAGAGCAATGCCTTGAGTTGACGATAAGATCCATGGAGACCTGGTATGCCTTTGCATCGCTCAGGAACAATGATGAGATCATATTGCTTAGTCGTGTCGGCGCTGTTCTTAGAGTCACTTGGAACCCCAATGCAGAGCACTTCTTTGTTGCTCGGCGCGGTCTTTGATCCAAAGAGGGCGTGCTTCACTAGGCCTGGCTGTGATAACTTCGCAGTAGAGGTTATACTGCTTTGAATGGAAAGTTCCGTGTCTTCTGCGGCAGGCAATAACTCCAGTACTCTACTTTCTGGTTGTTCATACAACAGCATCTCGCAAATCTAGTCACAGTCAGCTCTATCGGCATCATTAGATCATTGGAAATTCGCAAGACTCACTTTGGCAACTCTAGCGTCCGAAGTGGGACCCGAATCTTCGACCACGCGCTGTAACTCGCTCGGTTCCAGGAGACTGTAAGCGTACTCCCAACTCGGATAAGAGCATAGAAGAGAGTGGGTGGCATTGCTCTGCCCTTGAGGCTGGCTCTCATTTGAAATTTCCGTTGTACATCGGAATCCGCGCAAAGTGATATAAGCAGAGGACCCTGACTCGTCAAAGACGTTGATATCGGCGGATACCTCTCCAGAGCCGCGCATCTTTGCCGTCGCCACACCCTTCATTCTGGTGCCAACTGCGTCGGGGATATCACAGGCTATCGTGAGCTCCTCAATGAAAGTAGGGATGAGTGGTCGATTTGGTGGGGTTCTCCCATCGTAAACGGCGCTAAAGGATGGTGAGAAGATCGAGTCCAGTGTTGTAGGGTGAATCAAATGATGGCGTCCTGGATGGCCGGTACTAAATATCTCCCCAGGGTCACCTATGGTGAGTTCAAATACGGTCTTTCCGTCGCCAAGGCGCAGCTTTTTGATGTTACGGAAGGTTGGCCCAAATTCCAACCCCACGTTGCCTAGATCCCGGTAGAAGTCTTCTACATCAAGTTCCTGGGCACAAATTTCATTTGCCGCTTTGTAGTTTGAAATTTGATCATCCAAGAACGAAGACAGCTCATGAGCCATGTGCTGATCTTCGGTTGCCTTGTAGTCGATCTGAATGAGACCGTGGCAATTTTCTCGAATTGGCATGTCTGCGCTGCCGGATGTTGACACCGTGAACTCGAGCCAAGTAGAATCTGAGCTTGAGCCGGCCGTACTTGTTAGATGTGGGCGCAGGTGGATGATGACCTCTGTGGCCTTGTCCTCGTTCACGACTACGGCCGTGCCGAACGAGATGTCACGCAGCTTCAATGCTCTGATTGTCTTCCCGGCGTCTGCCATCTGCTGTGCAGCCTCGATGGCCATGACGACGAGCCCAGCACCAGGAAACAGAACGACAGACACAACCTTGTGGTCACGTATCCATCCTTCTTCTTCGAGGCGCAGATGGCTGCGCCAGATGCGCTCTCTTTCGCTAATCGACGTGAAGGCGGTACCAAGCAGACTCCTCTGAGGTTGCGATCTCATCGAAAATTCTCTGTTGATGCGAGATCCCGCATCAAACCTTCGCGAGTGGTTCCAAGGATAGGGCGGCAGATCTGTGATGGTTCTCAATGACTCGCCCCCATTGACTTTTCCGATGTCGACTGGATAACCCCTGGCAAAGAGCCACCCTGCCAGATCCAGGACGCTATCGATTGCACTCACGCCTCTGATCAATGCAGACTGGTACTCAATGCCTTTGACGTTACTCTTCTCCAAAACTTCCCCAACTGGCCCGCTCAGAGCTGAATGCGGCCCAATCTCGACCAAGAGATCCACGGCATTCGTAGATGGCGACGGAGGCTGGCCCTCTACAGGCGTTGTAACCATCTCGGCCAAGGCATCTGAGAAATAGACCGGATTAATGAGATTGCGGCCCCAGTAGAAAGCACCAAGTAATTCGGGTACGGCCTGTCCACCCTCGACGCTCGAAAACATGACTGGCCCGCCAGCTTCATGCGCAGGAATTCCGTGAATGTGGCCCATGGCCTGGACATAGGAAGGATATATTTCCTGGATGTGATCGGAATGGTACGCCACGTCGATGGCAAGGCGTTTCGCGAAAATGCCTTTTTCGTCCAGCGTTGCCTGCAGCTGTTTGAGACGCTGAACTGAGCCAGAGACGGTGACGTTGGATGGAGAATTTACGCAGGCGACTGTGAGGTCTGCGTTATCCATCAGGGCAATCAATTCGTCGACGTCATGTTGCGAAGCCCCAACAGCCATCATGCCTCCGTCGAACTGTGGAGCCACCTTCTTCATACTCGCGGATGCAACACCCCTGAGATATGCCACAGACACGGCATCGAACTTACTGAGGGCGCCGATGCAGTATGCGGCAGCGATCTCGCCGCTCGAATGCCCAACGACCCGCGAGGGCGTCACGCCATACGATCGGAGCAGATCTACTAGGGCTATCTGCAATATCGTGCAGAGCGTCTGGCTTACCTCAGGTTCATCGATGCGGGACTTTCCGCTCATGTGGCCAAGCTCATCAATTGCGCGCCATGAGCAGCCGAGAGAAGCAAGATACATGTCGCACTCGTCCATGGATGTTTTGAAAACCGGTCGCTCCAACAGCTCGATACCCATGCGAGCCCACTGTGCACCCTGGCCGGTGAATATGAAGCCGAGTGATGGTGTCTTGTTGGATCGAACAGCAGCATTCCCCTGGAGTGACGCTAGCTGGTTGCGCAGTTGTGATAGACTGGAAGCAGCACAGTAGTACTTCCAGTTGAGCTTGGATCGCTTAACACCAAGGGTATACGCAAGGTCGGCAACGTAATCTGGAGGAGCGGTTGCTTGGATAGTATCCAGGTGAGACACCAGCGTCTGCGCAACCCGAGCTACACCTCCCTGGTCGTAGCTGCTGATGACGAAGAGTTGCTTCTGCGGCGGTTTCGCTGGAGCTAGTGAACTGCCCAGTAAGCCCGTGATGGAGTTGTTGTTAGCAAAGACTGTGGCACGTTTCCGCAGATCCTTTGCATTCTCCACGATGGCGTGCGCGTTGGTACCACCTACTCCAAAGCTACTCACACTCATTCGTCTCGTCTCTCCTCTCGGCCAAGGAGTCATCTTGGTCGGAACATGGAGGTTCCACTTGTCGAATGGAATGGCTGGATTGGGCTTATTGAAATATAAATTAGGCGGTATTACGCCTTTCTCGAGCGCCAGCACGCCTTTTATCAGACCTGCCATGCTGGCTGCACCTTCGAGATGGCCAATCTACAAGGCTGAATTAGCTCTTGGAAACGTGAAGGAACCTAGCGGATCTCCTTACATTAGGCTTGACGCTACCGAGAATGAGCTTGCGATTTGGACTTGCTCGCTTCCCGAGTGTCTCGTAGATGGCGCGACACTCGATGGGGTCTCCGACCTTCGTACCTGTACCCTTACATAACATGTCAAAATTTAGGTTTCAAAGAAGAAGCAGCGCGAAGAATACTCACATGGGCCTCAACATATTGAGTGTCTGCCAAATCCAGGCCGGCTGCCAGATAGACGTCACGGATGAGTTCCGCCTGTGCTGATGCACTAGGCATCGTAATACCCTGGGTAAAGCCGTCTGAATTGACTCCCGAGCCACGGATGACGGCGCGGATAGTGTCGCCATCGCGGATGGCATCATCTAACCGCTTCAGCACAACTATGCCGCAGCCCTCTCCGCGGGAGTAACCGTCTCCCGAAGCGTCGAAGGACTTGCAGTGGCCTTCCTTTGTGCTCATGGTCATGTTATTAAGGTAGATTGAGAAGTCCGGGTTCAGCATCAGGTTGACACCGCCGGCTATGGCCATTTCAGACTCGCCGTTGATCAGACTTTTGCACGCCAGATGCAGCGCGACGAGACTGGATGAACAGGCAGTTTGTATCGTCATGCTTGGCCCCTTTAGGTTGTAGAACCAAGAAGTCCGATTGGCAATCATCTCGTTGATGACGCCGAGTAACGAGTACCGCGGGTTGGCATCGGGATCTCTGTTGATTGTATCGCGGTAATCAGACGTTGCGGAGCCCATGAAGCAACCTGTCTTTGTGCCAGCGACCGCTTCTATGGGAATGCCTGCACTCTCAAAGGCTTCGTACGCCAACTCTAGTGTCATGCGCTGTTGTGGATCCAGCGCCGTGGCTTCGGCTTGGCTGATATTGAAAAAGGCAGCATCAAAAGCCATGATGTCTTCGGTTAAGAAGTGCGCGCCTTTATTTGAAAATGTATGTAGTTTGTCTTTCCCTGGATGGAAGAAGCCATCGGGATTCCATCTGTTGGGCGGAAGACAATAAGAGTCTGCGTGCTTCTTAGCATCATAAGATCAAGGATGACATCGCCTCGCGTTGTCTAATATCGACTACAGATTACGAACCTCGTTTTGACACCAGCAGGTCCCAGAACGTCTCTGGTGATGTGGCACCACCTGGGAAGCGACATGACAGACCGATGATAGCGACTGGATCGTAGCTACTCATTGTAAACAGTTACGATGAACAAGAGAACGCACTTGCTAGCCTTCAAGCACGTAGTATTTCAACAAAGAAATAACCTTGAATAAAAATGGGAGAATAGCCCTAGGTCGAGAAGTCTAAATATGATATTTCTCCAAAGATGTCCAAAAAGGAAGTAAAGGAATAAAGAAAAAAGAGATGTCAAAGACTTGCACCTCCTTTGAACTATAACGCGGTACGGATCCAAGCGGAGCGATACCTATCCAGACTTTAAGAAGTACTCAGAACTCTGAACAAACATAACCTAGAATAGGGTCTGACTAGGACAAGGCCGAAGACGCTGGCAAGTTCTGATAGTGCTGGAACGCGGATATGTCGGAGAAGCGTCGTGAAACTATCATAGCACTCACTAATACAAAGACGCATAGTGCTACGAGATACGAAGACACTCCTTTATTTTTGAACCGAAGTCGCACCCTTCTTTTCACCGAAGAAGCGCCCTTCTTCTCACCGAAGCCGCGTCATTCGTTTCACTAAAGCCGCACCCTCCTTTTCACCGAAGACTTCCGAAGACTTCCGAACATTGTACCTAATTTCTGTCCACGCAACAACGCCTGTAATCGTTGAATATCTGTAAAGATGTGAGTGTCATCTCATCCGTGTTCGTCCGTTCTGCAAGAGCAGATGTTCGTGGTGAGTTGTTGATACTCTTGCTTGAGATTGGTTGTGGTGCTACTGAACTGTCCGGTCAATACAACTAGCGTGGCGAAAGGGTCTCCACCTCGGGATCTCTTTTTCCACTATAGCTCTTCGTGTACTAGGCCTAATTAGGTGACTAATCCCTTATTTTATAGCCCTAATATAGATCTATAACTAACTAATATAGAGTATTACGCTAACTAGAATAGGTAAAAAGTTATACCTCTTTAGGCTAGCATGTAGAGACCTAAGTCTTAGCAAAGTAGGTAGGCTAATAACTTTTTACTTATTCTAGTTAGCGTAATACTCTATATTAGTTAGTTATAGATCTATATTAGGGCTATAAAATAAGGGATTAGTCACCTAATTAGGCCTAGTACACGAAGAGCTATAGTGGAAAAAGAGATCCCGAGGTGGAGACCCTTTCGCCACGCTAGTCAATGCAAAGATTTAATATATTAAAGACTAGCTTCTAGCCTCTTGTCTAATTAGAGCAAGCGTCAGCTAAACGCCCTGTGCATCACTTTGGATTTCAAATCAGTCCAGTTCGCGGCACGGACACTACGGAAGGCGACGGGTACTTTTCTTGAAACAATCTGTGGCACAAGCTACAGCAGAAGGACGGACATAGTGAAGTTTTAAGCAGGACAGTCGCCAGACACAACTGGAGACATCGCTGTACTACATTTGCGCTCTGCATTTCACCAATCTTCATCTATTCACCTTTTCTCGACGGAGTCAGTCTTATATCTTTGCTGTAGACAGCATCTCTGATCCCACGTCCAATTGTGTTGTAATTAATTCTATTCCTTCCCGTCTATGACCATGGCGTTGATGGGTGGACCAAGTAGTAGCGAATTGCTGCTGTTTGGAGATCAGACAGATGGGTTTTTTGCTCCAATCAAGCAGCTATACGACCAGGCCGCGAATGACGCGTTTCTTTGCAAGTTCCTCCAAGATGCCGCAACGGTGCTTCGTCGAGAGCTCAGCAGCCTAGAGCCTAGAATGCGGGATTCCATGGGCGGATCTTTCTCTGACCTGCTGCAGCTCGCTGAGCGCTTCCGCAGCCAAGACGACGTGGTTGGACTAGCACATGCCGTCCTAGTAGGCATCGTGAGGGCCGCAAAACTCGTCCAGTTTGTCCTCACTCATTTGATCAATGTGAGAACTATGGCTAACCAAGGTGGCTTAGGTTTGCCCAGGCGTATCCCAGGTTGTTGACTGCCAACAGCCTACCCACGTACTTGGTTGGAGCTTGTGGAGGCCTCCTGGCTGCTTCTGCCATGATGGTTGCCAACAACCTGCCGTCGTTGTACCAGTCGAGTCTGGAGATGATCCGGGTAACATGCCGTCTCTCCAACCTGATGATCAGCCGGTCCATGGCGGTTGAGGATACGGTCGACTCGTGGGGGTGGTCGATTCTTGGCGTGAGCACCAGCAATCTCCAGGGGTATTTGGATGCGTTCCACAACACACAGGTAAGAACTATGTAGCCCTCAGTTTTTGGAAGGAAGGCCATGCTGACAAACGGGGGCAGAAGACGTCACCGCACCGCAGAGTCAAGATTGGCGCATCGGGAGTGGACGATGGATGGCATACCATTATTGGACCGCCGTCGATGTTGAAGCTATTCTTCAGCAGTTGCGCGCCGGTGAGGGCGCTGCCCCGGCAGAGGCTTCGCATCTCGTCCCTGACCCACGCCCTGGATAGTCTGGACGAAGAGGAAGTCAAGTACATCCTGGGAGAGTCGCCTCTGCTGGATGCCCCGGTGCTTCCTCAGTACGTATTCTTGTCCCTTGGAAACACATCCGAGTATCAAGGCGGCCGCTGGCGTGACGTGCTGTGCCAGGTGGTGCGCGATATTGGCACGAGGCCGCTCCTCTTGGGCCAGGGTCTGGAGGCGCTGCATGGTCTGCTCGATGCCGCCAGGCCAGTCACGCTGCATGTCATGGGGCCGACCGCCCACCTGTCCACCATGTCTGGCTACCTGGAGCAGTGCGGCAGGACGGTCACTGTCGTCGACGAGCCCACGAGCGCGCGGCAAGAGACTGACGAGGCGGATTACTCGGGCCGCATTGCTATCGTTGGCATGAGTGGGCGCTACCCGGCGAGCGAGAGTCTCAAAGAGTTCTGGGACATTATTGCAGAGGGCAAGATTGTGCATAGCGAAGTAAGTAGGACTCGGGAGGAGACGGTAGCTATGTTGGCTAACGTGTGGCACAGATACCGCGGGATCGCTTCGACCTGGACGAGCTGTACGACCCAAAGGCAGCCAAGCACCTGTCGACGTCGACCAAGTACGGCTGTTTCATCCAGCAGCCCGGCCTCTTCGACGCTCGCTTCTTCAACGTGTCGCCACGAGAAGCGCTGCAGATCGATCCGGGCCACCGCCTGTTCCTCATGGCGGCGTACGAGGCGCTCGAGATGGCCGGATACAGCCGGGGCCACTACGCAGCCCCAGACGACAGCCGCATCGCCACGTTCCTGGGCCAAGCGACCGAGGACTGGCGCGACATTATGCACCTGTCGGGCGGCGACGCCTTCAGCCTGGGCGGGCTGCAGCGCAGTTTTGGGCCCGGGCGCGTCAACTTCAGCATGCGGTGGAGCGGCCCGACGTACAGCATCGACTCAGCGTGCGCCTCGGGCCTGTCGACGGTGACGCTGGCGTGCTCGTCGCTGCTGGCACGCGAGTGCGACATGGCGGTGGCGGGCGGCGCCAACGTCATCGCCAGCCCCCTGACCTACCACGCGCTGAGCAAGGCGGGCTTCCTGTCGACAACGGGCGGCTGCAAGACGTACCGCGACGACGCCGACGGCTACTGCCGCGGCGAGTTTGTTGGCGCCTTTGTGCTGAAGCGCCTCGACGACGCCGTGGCCGACCACGACAACATCCTCGCCGTCATCGCCGCCTCGGCCCGCAACCACTCAGGCATGGCGAGCTCCATCATGCACTCGGACCACCGCGCCCAGGAGAGCCTGATGGGCGAGGTGCTGCGCAAGGCGCGTGTCGACGCGGCCGACGTATCGTACGTCGAGATGCATGGCACTGGCACCCAGGTGGGCGACTTTGCCGAGATGACGGCCGTCGCCAACACGTTTGGCCGCGCCCCAGGCCGCGGAGCGCCGCTGAAGGTGGGCGCCATCAAGGCCAACATTGGCCATGCTGAAGCCGGCGCAGGCTCAGCGGCGCTGCTCAAGGCGGTGCTGATGATGCAGACGGGCATGGTCCCCCCGCAGGCCGGCCTCCCGCACCCGCTCAACCCCAACCTGCCAGACCTGGCCGCCCTTGACATGGACATGCCCACGGAGCCCCAGCCCTTTGGGTCGCGTGCGGGCGACGGCAGCCGCGCTGTGCTCATCAACTCGTTTGACGCCTCAGGCGGCAACACGTGCGTCCTGCTGCAGGAGCCGCCCGCGCGCCCCACTGCGGCCCAGCCCGACCCGCGCGCCAGCCACGTGGTGACGACGTCAGCCAAGACGGCCGGCGCCCACGTCGAGAACAAGCGGCGGCTGCTTGCGTTCCTGCAGAGCAACCCTGGCGTAAGCGTGGCTGACGTCAGCTACACGACCACGGCCCGCCGCCTGCACTATCCACTGCGGACCGCGTATGCCGTCAGCTCTACAGCTGACCTCATTGAGCAGCTGCAGGCCGACCTGGCAAGCCCGCGCGCGCAGCTGGCGGGCGTGGGTGCTAAGCCTGTTGTCTTCGCCTTCACTGGCCAGGGCGCTGCGTACGGCGGCATGGGTAGCGACCTCTTCCAGACGAGCCCGGCCTTCCGCAACAAGGCGCAGCTGTGTGCCCAGCTCGCCGCCTCGCTCGGCCTGCCGCCGTTCCTGCACCTCATCACCGACCCAGACAGCAACGCGAGCGACGCGTCGGCGGCCCAGACGCAGCTCGCCGTCGTCAGCGTCGAGGTGGCGCTGGCGGCCTTCTGGGCCAGCTGCGGCCTCAGCCCTGCCGCCGTCACTGGCCACAGCCTGGGCGAGTACGCGGCGCTGCACGTGGCGGGCGTCCTGTCCCTCGCCGACATGCTCTTCCTGGTGGGCCAGCGCGCGCTGCTGCTCGAGGCGCGCTGCGAGGCGCACACGTACTCGATGCTCGCCCTCTCTGCCAACAGCAACGCAGCGCGCCAGCTGCTGGCCACGGCGCCTAGCAGCACCACTAGCTGCGGCATCGCCTGCCTCAACAGCCCCTTGGCCACGGTCGTGAGCGGCCGCGTCGACGAGATTGGCGAGCTGCAGCTCCACGCGCGTGCCCAGCAGCTGCGCTCCGTCATCCTGCCCCTGCCCTACGGCTTCCACTCGGCCCAGCTGGACCCCATGCTCGACGAGTATGCGCGCATCGCCCACACGGTGCCGTACCACGCGCCCGCCATCCCCGTCGCGTCGACGCTGCTCGGCGCCATGGTGTCGACGGATGGTGTGTTTGACGCTGCGTATCTGGTCCGCCAGGCACGTGAGCCCGTCAACTTTGCGGGTGCCGTCGCCGCCGTCGCCGCCACGCTGCACCAGCAGAGCCCCGTCTGGCTCGAGCTCGGCCCCACGTCGGTCTGCATCGACATGGTCCGTGCCATTCTCTCTCCCCAGACTCCCCCAGCTCCCCCAGCTCCCCCAGCTCCCCCAGCTCCCCCAGCTCCCCAGGCTCCTCCCGCCGCCTTGCTGCCCTCACTCAACCGCGGCGTCGCGCCATGGACAAGCCTCACCCGCGTCCTGGCCGCGGCGTACGAGGCGCGCGTCGACTTGGACTGGGCGGAGCTTCACAGGCCCTACGCCGCGCACTTGCGTCTCCTGGCCCTCCCCCCGTACGCGTTTGATACCAAGGACTACTGGAGAGTGTACAAGTCGCCTGCCGCCCTGGCGCCCCAGCTCGCCGCTGCGCCACCAACAAGGCGGCCGCCGCCGCCCTCGACGACGACGCTGCAGCAGCTCGTGTGCGAGTCGACGGGCCCCAAGGCCGAGGCTACCTTCCAGTCGCTGTTCTCCAACCCAGCCCTGTCCGCCTTGGTCAAGGGCCATCGCCTCGAGGGCGTCGCCATATCTCCCGGCGCGGTTTTTGGCGACATGTCCTTGACGGCAGCCAGATACCTGGCCGAGACGTCGAGCGGCGACAGGGCCCTTGCCGCCACATTCAGCTCGACCCGTGACTGTGTCTTTCTACGGCCCATTGTCTTGGACGAGGCCGACCAGAGCCAGAGCGTGCAGCTGCGTGTTAGCCTTGCGAGCGACGCCGGATCCAGTCGCGGCATCGTGTCTTCTTTGTTCGCGACATCTCCGAGAGGCGCCAAGATTGAGTATGCCAAGTGCCGCATCACGCAAACAGACGTCAAATCCGTCGTCGCCGAGTGGAACAGGCGCGCGCCTGCCATCCTCGCACGGTGCAGCGACGTCAGCCGGGCCGCCGCCAACGGCGCTGGCCATCGATTGTCTGCGCCTCTGTTCTATGCCCTCTTCTCACACACGGTCAATTACGACGATGCCTATCGCCGCCTGCGTGACGTGTCCATCTCCGAGAACTTCAACCAAGCATTCGCTGAGCTGAGGCTGGAACCTTCCCCCGCTGGCACGAGCTTTACACTCTCCCCATACTGGGTCGACAGCGCTGTCCACCTCGCCGGTTTCTTGGTCAACTGCAATCCTTCCAAGCCTGCCGATACACTGGCCATGTTGCAGTCTTTTGGCGCCTGCGACGTCCTGGAGCCACTGACCCCCGGCAAGCCCTACCACGTCTACGCGAGCGTCGGCACCCCCACCAATGGCTCGTCCCCGGTCGATGTCTGGGTGCTCGATGGCCAGCGTCTGGTCATGCAGTATCTTGGGCTCCGCTTCCATCAAGTCCCCACGACCACTTTTGTTCGCATGCTTGGGAAACACGCTCCCTCTCCCGCTGAGCAACCCGCTAAGCAAATCACGCCGCCGCCATTCCTCTCTGTTCAGGACAACCTTGTACTTCAGCCGCCTCGCCGCCCACTGTCTCCAGCTTCATCTAATTCGTCGTCGTCTGGAACTTCTTCACAAGCCTTCTCGGCTGACTCTTGGGCGCCGACTCCTCCAACTCACCCCAACTCCCCGCCTGCGCAGTCACACCTCTCCACTGGCGGTCCTAAAAAGGAAGATTTCGTAGGCATCATTCTGGAGGCTGTTGCCGAGAACACAGGCTACGAAGCCTCGAGCTTCACGCCCCAAAGTGTCTTGTCCGATTTCGGAGTTGACTCTATCATGGCCATTCAGATTGCAACCCAGGTACAGGAAAAGCTGGGTTTTGACGTCGAGGCAAGATTGTTTCACGAGAACCCAACCATAGAGCATGTCGCACAAGCCTTTAGCAGCCAGGTGCCGCCTAGTCTAACAGAGGAGCCCAAGCTGGACAGCATCCGTTCCCAGCCCTCGGCTTTTGAGCATTCCCCTCCCGAGCCCGCCGACACGGTAGCTCCCAAAGGTAGCAAAACCGAGCTTATGGCTGTTGTGCTCAACGCCGTTGCTACAGAGACGGGCATAGATGCCGAAGAGCTGCATGACTCGACCTTGTTGACCGACCTTGGTGTGGACTCCATCATGGCCATTCAAATCGCAAGCGCTGTGCACGACGCAACGGGTGTGGAGATTGGTGCCTCGTCTTTGCACGATTACCAAACCATCGGAGACATTCGTCGAGCCTTTTCCGACAAGCCTGCCGTATCTGCTGAGGAACCCAGACTTGGAGCGGCGCCCAGTTGGTCCGACCATCGTGGCCAAGCTAACATTGCATCTACCCCTAGCCTCCACAAGCCAGTTTTCCCGCAACCTCCTGTCGCGACTCCGCACACAATGCTTCACAGCGCTGCCATCTCCCAACCCGCGGTTCCATCGCCACCCCCGGCAGCGCCAGCAGAAAAGAAAAAGGTGCAAGGACTTGCCAAGGTACCTGCCACGATTGACATGACCAAGCCCCATGTGAACATTGTGCTCATGCATGGACGTCTCTCATCCAAGTTGACGCCGCTTTTCATGTTTCCGGATGGGACAGGCGCTGCGGCAACGTACATTTACTTGAAGCGCCTTGGCAACAACCGCCCCGTGTACGCGGTCGAATCTCCCTACCTCCGCTGTCCAGAACTTTTCACCTGCGGCGCTGAGGACGCCGCTTCCCTCATGGTCTCGGCCATTGTCAAGCAGCACAAGGGTCCTTATCTGCTGGCCGGCTACTCTGGCGGCGCGATTCTGGCCTACGAGGCGGCGCGTCAGCTACTCCTTGCAGGCCACGCGGTTCAAGGCCTCCTTATGTACGACATGGCTGCACCCAAGGCCCGCCCAGACAAGCACAAAGACGCCATGCCCAAGGTCCTGGTCGAGATGATGGTGCGCTTGATGGGCGGATCGCGCAATAAATGGCTCGACCAAGCGGCGGCCGAGAAATCCCAGCTGCACATGCGCCAAATGGTTCGCTGCGTAAGTGCCTATCAAGGCAATGCCATGCCGCCAGGCATGCGCCCCGACCGGACCGTTATCACATGGTGTACGCGTGGCGTTGCTGAACGCCTCGACGAGCCCTTCAAGCAGAAGCTAGCCGCCAACGGCATCTCGTGCGATCCGGTTCCCAACTTCATGGAAGATCCTGCCGTCGGCCCCTTCAACTGGACTTTCCCGCCTAACAAGCCGCTCGGCCCCAACGGCTGGGACCACATGGTCGGCCCAATCCATTGCTTAGCTGTTGAGGCGGATCACTTTTCCATGATCGTGCCCCCGGATGTAAGTATCTCTGCCGCACCGCCTTGGCGTATTCACACTTGCTAATCCGTTGTTTACAGGTCAACAAGTTCCATGGTGCACTTGAGGAGGGATTGGCGTATTGTACTAGTGAGTAGGAATGTTAAGCCAGCCTACCGAGGTCGGCAATACAGAGTTTTTGTTCAAGGATCAAATGATTTACTAGGATAGCATTAAGCGAATCCACTAGTGCTGGAAGTATACTAGCTTAGCTAACAACGCTTCTTAAACGAATTTTAGAATGTATCATGTGACACTAGAAGTACCTTGCACTCTCCTGATAAAGGAAATGACCATATATTAATTGACTTGGCTCAATATACTAAGTAATCTAGCCCTACCCTAACGCGCAGTGGTGCCTCTACCCATTTACTAGTCTATGACAGACTGTGTCTAGGTTAGGCTAACTTTTCCATGCGATATTCTGCGTTGATTCCAATACTTGCAGCTGTCGTGTTTGAGGGTCATGATAGTAGGGAGTGCCTCCACGTGCAAAGGCCGGCTTCTGTCATCAAACCCGTGTTTCCCCCCCCCCCCCTCCCCCCCTCCTCCAAGTTTTGTTCATCACGTCACGTGCTAAGATATATTGATGCATGTATCGATTGCATTATCCTCTAATACAAGCCAACAACTAGAGCTATCTATACATTTTTGCTTGCAAAAAACTTGCTAGAGTTTACCAACTCACTGTGCGCTACGATGTAGCCAATGAATCGCATAACTTCCTCTCCTGTAGTATGTGTTAGTATGATCTGGGCAGTCTGAGGTGCAATGAAAAAGGCCGTCTGATGGGGACTTACCTGAAGGGGGCTTGCCCCGCTGCCCAGACGATTCTCTACCTCGCATGCGGCTATATTCCTGGATCTTAGTGGCATGATCCTTTCTGCATTCCTCGTACCACTGCAGCCTTTGCGGAACATCCTTCGCCTGAGTTCCCAATGGTAGCATAACAGATAGGGATATAGCATCCTCAATAGCCTGCGCTGAGCCTTGGGCCAAGACTACATGAGTTTCACGATTAGCTCTGCTGATAGCATGGAAGAGTGCGCCAACTTTCTAGAAAGAAAAAAAAACCAAAACGTCGGGTGTGAGTACTTACACGGTGAGTACGGATGCGCGGCGTCGCCCATCAGCGCCATGGTCCCCTCACACCATCGAGGCAGTGGATCAAGGTCGAACAGCTCCCATAAAGTGACAGCTTCCTCGGTAGACTTCGACAGTAGGGAGCGCATTGGCTTAGCGAATTCAGAATACGCAACCAGCATCCTCTCCCTCACAGACAATCTGTTCCCCTCACCTAGCAAACACAAGACATCGCATCAGCAGCTGTGCAACAAAACAACTCCTCTAGCGATAATAAGGAGGTGGGAAAAGACAAAAGCGCATACTCACTACTCGTCTCCAGCAGCGCCTGTTCTCGCGGGAGGGTGGCTAAGACGTTCGTCGTCTCACCGCCGGAGCAGGGATAGAATATGATACGTCGGTCGGGACTTCCCACCTCCGTGACCACGCCCGGCTCCTTGACTAGCTCCTGGGTTTCGGCATCATCACGGAGAAGTGCTGTGGGAATGAGCGTGCGAAAACAGCTCACCGCCGAGGGCGCCTCTTCGAACTCGTCGCCCAAGACTGCCTTCCGACACGCCGAGTGCACGCCGTCGGCTGCGATGACGACGTCGCCCGTGACGGTGCTTCCATCTTCCAATACCACCGTTGCACTATCCGTGGATATGGATTTGACCGCGTTACCGAGGCGGAGATTGATGGGCTTACCGGGGCCCGAGGTACTCGTGGCCTCAGCTTTGAGTGCGCTGTGCAGGTCGGCGCGGTGAATGAGGTAGTTGTTCTATGTCACCGTGCTGTTCAGCATGGGGAGTCTGAATGTAACCAACATCTGGGTTTACGAACCGTTTCCTTGGAAGGTGCTGGCCTCAAGGCCGCCTGTTTTACCTTGTCGCTCATGTCGCCCATTTCCTTCAACGTACGCGAGTCTTTCACTGTCATCTTGTGCCGCAAACTAGTGAGTTTTCATGGTCCTGCAGAAAATATTGCAACTAGGCTTTGCAAGAGGATTGTACGCACATTCAGCAGGGTCGTCGCGCCAATTTCTTCAGGTTCAACGCCGAGGTGGCGGAGGAGCGCCGTGCAATTAGGTTGAAGCGCGATGGCTGCGCCTATTTCGTTTTTCATGGCAGATTTTTCCAACACCTAGAAATCCTTTTTTTTAGCATGTACATGTGCGAGTAAAGCAATCCCTTTGGAAAATGAAATGGACTAACGGTGACGTTATGGCCTTGCTTTCGGAATGCGATCGAGGCTGCTAGACCTCCAATGCCGGCTCCCACAACGATAACTGTTAGTGGAGTATCTACTGCCATTTGAGAGAAATCGATGACGCTTTTCTAAAATTTTGAAGTGTTGGAGATATGATTGTGTTACAGTGTTCTGTCAACAAGTAGTAACTTGGAGAAAAACAAAGATACATGTACAAAATACGGACATACTCAATACACTAATGAACAAGCAAACTGATCAGCGGCTTAATTGCTAGAAGAGGTAAGTTTCCGCTGATATCCGGGTCAAGGTTGTGTTAGTATGTTGGCTTACTATATAGCATTTTAGTGCTATACTTTTAATTATGGCATATATGCCTCGCCTGCAGATATTCGCTTCAAATTAATATATTCAAATTAATATTTAGCTACACCTAAGTGCTAAATATTACATTGTTCAAACCTTCTATATTAAGTGGAAATTAAAAGAATAGCTAAAGTGTGAAAGCCTTTAGCTCTGCCACTCGAATATGTATGTAGTATTAGTCTATTAGACAGAACTAAGTTATAGATTAAAACCTACCCGAGTAATGAAGAACCAATGTTCTACTTTACTTCTTTTACTAACATCTTATAAACTATTAGTCTAAATTATAGAATCCTTATTTAATTATAATCCCTTAGATTAGTTTTTACTCTCATAAAATATGATATAAAGCTTTTTCTAGCTAAGTTCAAGACTTATCAAAAGCCTATTAGCTCCACCTAGAGGTAGAGTTAAGGATAGGTTGTCCCGATTCTAAGCTCTTACTTTAGCTCTAGAGTGACTACTGTTAAGGTTAAACTCAAACACCCTATCAGGAGGTTATAGATCTAATCTCTAGCATTTGAATGAGATAAGAATTACTTAATTTAAACTAGTTTTAGGCAAGATAGAGGGGAGCTCTGTAGGGGAGCCTGCATTTACTAGTCTAATCGCGGCGTGGTAGTAGTGTTGTAGAGCGTCGCGTCAGGTGAGGTAGGGTAGGCTACTAAACAGTGTGGGCCGCTTACTAGTAGTGCACGTTGCATTTAATACAATATCAAACTCCAAAGCGGCATTATATATGAGCAGGGTAGGCGGCTTAGAAAGCCGGTGCCAACGCAGTTGGAGGATGATCTCCATTGAAACTAGCTTAGAAACCCCTGCCAGCCAAACTAGACAGGGACATTTGAAAAGCACCCCTGTAGTTCAGGGTAAGGGCCTGTTCGGTAAAACTCCAGAGGCCGTTCCAGACGCCCAAATAGTACTAGTTTTTCAAAACGGAGATAGAAACGGCGTCGTGTTCAGTAAAACTAGACTGGCGAATGGGTCTCCACCTCGGGATCTCTTTTTCCACAATAGCTCTCCCAATACTAGGCCTAATTAGGCAATAGATAGCTGATCTTATAGCTCTTATGAAGATCTGTAACCTACTAGTATAAAGTAAGACACTAGCTATAATAGATATTAAGTTATGCCTCTTTAGGCTAGCATGTGGAGACCTAAGTCTTAGCAAAGTAGGTAGGCTAATAACCTTTTACTTATTATAGCTAGCATCTTACTTTGTACTAGTAAGTTAAAGATCTTAATAGAGGCTATGAAATAAGCTATTAACTACCTAATTAGACCTAGTATTAGGAGAGCTATTGTGGAAAAAGAGATCCCGAGGTGGAGACCCATTCGCTAGTCTAGGTAAAACGGAGGTTTAGATTGCATAAACGGAGACTCCATTTTGTTAGCGCAGCGCTAACAAAATAAATATTAGTAGCTTAGCCCTATACCGCTAGGCTACAACAACTAAAAAGGTATAAGTAATTAGCGTTCTGCTAATTCCTAGCACAAGATAGTATATATTGTTAGCTACGCCTAATATTATCCCCCTCTTTACTAAGGCCTAGTCCCTAGGACTTACCTATAGGTAACTACTAGGGATCTTCTTATGTACTAGACCTCCTAGTAGCTTATAGAACGCTAGAGCACCTTTAGCTATTCTTTAGTCTCTAACTAGCTATGCTGTAACTAGTACTAGCTAGAATCAAACCTAGCACCTCTAGCAGATCCGGCAGATCCGGCGGATCCGGTGGACGATAGTAGCCCCAGCTGAACGCTGATTACTATGTTAGTAGCTTAGCCCTGTGCCGCTAGGCTACAACAACCAAAAAGGTACGAGTAATTAGCGTTCTGCTAATTCCCTGCATAGGATAGTATATATCGTCGGCTGCGCCTGACAATAAACCCTACTTAGTGCTTACTTGCCCTATATTTATACTACTTTAGGTAGCGTGGCGAATGGGTCTCCACCTCGGGATCTCTTTTTCCACTATAGCTCTCCTAATACTAGGTCTAATTAGGTAGTTAATAGCTTATTTCATAGCCTCTATTAAGATCTTTAACTTACTAGTACAAAGTAAGACGCTAGCTATAATAAGTAAAAGGTTATTAGCCTACCTACCTTGCCAAGACTTGTGTAACGGGCTGAACGCCCTTTGGATAGCTCCTCGATGGAATCTCGGTCAAGCAGCAGACGCCAGGTCTTACTCTGCAACCCGGCATCTGTGCGAGGCCTGAGCGGCGCCCAGACGACGCGCTCAGACACTCGGTGCAACCTTTCTCCGACAAGTAAATAAACACCACGCAAGTAGACTCTATAGCTCTCTATCGAATACAACCTCTTGTATACCTCGCGATTGCTCCCCGGAGCGCAGCCCCTTACAACTTGGGTCTCCAAATGCTAGCCCGAAGAGGTATAACTTCTTACCTATTCTAGTTAGCGTAATACTCTATATTAGTTAGTTATAGATCTATATTAGGGCTATAAAATAAGGGATTAGTCACCTAATTAGGCCTAGTACACGAAGAGCTATAGTGGAAAAAGAGATCCCGAGGTGGAGACCCTTTCGCCACGCTAGCCTCAATTAGGGTAAAAAAACGCAACATGGAGCTCAATCGAACAGGCCCTAAGGAAGCGCTGGAGATTAGCAGCACTCTGCGATAATATAGGTAAATTGAGACCCCCATATTAACATAAATAAGTTAACCCGTGCGCCTTTTGAGGGACCTACGGAAAACAATACACTAGATTCAGGCCTAAGACCCTCATAGTCTATATCGACATGAAAAGAGCTTCGGTTATAGCAATTACACATGGAGGAGGTTCGCTTTGCCATCGCTCACCTAAAATATTTCAAGGCCGCGGCTGATTATCCATAATCCAGGCCCGATGCCAGTCATTGCTCCCATCATGGGCGACACTGGTCACGAACCTCTTATAGAGTCCCTCAAGACACGCATCCCTAAGCTTCTGAAATTGGGTACCCCAGACGCACCCAGAGCCATTGTCGTCATCACGCCCCACTGGCTTCCAGAGCGTCCGACCATATCAATCGCCGCGGAGCCTCCACTACTCCATGACTTTGAGGCCAACTTCCCGCCCATGGTCTTCGAGATGAAGTATAAAGCGCCTGGTAGTCCTGAGATAGCCGAGGAGATCTATCAGGCCTTCTCTGAAGCTGGTCTCGAGCCAGTCAAAGATTGTGAGAGAGGTGAGAACCTGAGTTTTATATCAACGTCGGGTATTGCTGACGATCTACAGGATGGGACCACGGCATCTTCGTTCCCTTCATTCTCATCAACCCATCCGGTGACGTCCCGATCATACAGGTGTCCATTCAGCGCGATGAAGATCCGGCAACTCATTTCAAGATGGGATCTGCGCTTAGCAAATTGCGCGATACCAATGTTGCTGTTATTGGTTCGGGTTTTGGTTCCTTCCACAACAACACGGTTATGAGGCAGCTGTACTATAGCGACCCTGCTAGCGAAGACGTACTGCACTGGAGGAAGCTCATTGCCGATTGGGAGGAGGAGCTTGGAAAGGCTGTGCTGACGAGGGACCCGGAGGAGAGGTTGAAGTTGTTGGAAGAGTGGCGAGATATTCCGCACTCTTATGACATTCATCCTGCGGGAGAGTCTGAGCACTTGATGCCGCTGCTGGTTTGCGCAGGAGCTGTAGGATCTAGCGAGGGGAAAACGTTCAAGGACCCGTTTTCCGGGTATGAGGTTACATCTTACTACTGGGCCGATGGCGTAACGGTCTGATGTACTGGACGTCTCAAATTAGAGAACGTACTTCTTCAGAGTCGCCATGTTGCTTTTTAAATAGCGCCTTGTGGATTGAATTTTCGCACGTCTCATGAAGTTTTCCACGTTTTCCAAACCCCTCGCACAGAGCTACCTTCAGCTACATCGCACACGTGGTTTTCTAGTACAGAGTATTCTCGCTCTTAAATGTATCAGAACGGATTGCAAGTAGTTTTCGTAAGAGTTGTTAATCGAGGGGAGTAAGAGTATATTCCTACGTTTGCATAAAATGATCGCTAGCATATAGCGATAGTGTACATCCTCTACTCATATATGACCAGCGTAACCTAAGTAGAGGGTAACCGTGTATATTTCATCGTTTCACAAGGCGGGCTGCTGAAAATATGAAGCCGATCCGTTTCGGCCACGTGGGGGGAGTAGCCGATTCTCTTGATTTTCTGGACAATAAGGCACCAAAGACCTAACATATCCCATCAACAGGTCCTGAGCTGAGTTTCCCTGGTTTGAAGACTCGGACGGGATACATAGTACCGATATACTAAGCCTAGGATAGCTTGTTCTATACTCAACACATTACCATGGTAGCGATGTGTTAGATATTTGTAATCAAGTTAAAGAACTTGTATAGAAGTGAGAAGGAAGAAAGGGGCTTAGCTTAGATGACTCTTACGAAGGAGCTGTTTGTATTCTGAAATGTGTTTTCATAGGTAGGGATCTGTGACTCGTGAGACTTTAGAACATAAGGGATGATTGAGGAGTGTTGAGCCTCGATATCTCAGAGTCGTGACGGGTCGGAACTACTGTGTTCGTTACACTGTTCTATCATATTGTCATATCACATCAATATGACTGAATCTCTACAGAGTATCACAATGCATGGCTCTAAGCCTCGAGCCTTTTTTTTTGTATCAGTGCTTTGCACCAGGGATCAACTTTGTACAAGTACGGAAGCCTTCTTGTGACACTATATTACTCCAAACCCTAGGCCTTCTTTTTGTATCTAAGGTCCTATGTGCCGAAAAAGACTAATTGGATCGCAACGTTTAGAGGGAAGTCCATAATCCTTCCGATCTAATTAGTCGTTTTCGGCACATATGGCTTTTTGGCATAGAGGGACGGACCTTACTTCGTATAACGTAGATAGAATGCATAAGTCTTCTTGTTATACTGTAGAAGCAGTGTAATGGCGGCTCTTTCGCGGCCCTCTAGCGGCGCCGAAGAGACGCTGACTTCCGTAGACAAATCTTCACTGATACTCCGCACAGACTCGGTCTCATCAAAACGTCAATCGGCCGAGAGACCCTGGCTGGGAATCCATATGCATACACTAGCACTAGTTTGTTGACTAGCCTCCCTGTAACCGACAAAATCGTAATTACAGGGAGTCCCCTGTGATCCTAGTCCGCCCGAAGTATTGACCTCAATTCGAGCATCTATCTAGCTGCATGCGCGATTTTCAACTTTAGCTATCTCACTGGATGCTTATCTCGGTGCACTAGAATTTAACTCTACTAGAGCTAGGTGTAACGGGAACCGTGAGCCATTGTACATGCCAGTCAAAACACATGACTAAGAGTTGTTTACCGGGATGTAAAATCCAAGTCTAATGTCGGCAGTGAAACTTAAAAGATACAGCATCTATCCTTTTTCACTTTCCATTATTCTTCATTACCCTGAAATCGTTTTCTATTCATGTCCGAACATTCCATTCCAAACATGGAACCCCAAGTGAAGTTCGCAGCCGCAACAGACTTCCCACAAGACATTGTAGCTTTGGGGAAGCTTTGTTCCGACTTGGCGACGCAGGTCAGTTCCAAATTGTCTGAGACTGGTCACCCTCAGCCATCATTCGCTGCAGATGGTCCATCGGTCTTTCCGATCCTTGACCAGGACTTCGAAAACAAGAGAAATCAACTGCGTGAGGCGAGCAAGATGCTTTACGAATTGACAACAAACCCAGAGGATCTGGTGACTCGCGAGCTTTGGGCTAAGGTAATTCAGACCCATTCATTCTTTTTTTATCGCAATGATATACATTCAGCATTTGCATTAGCTAACTCAGCTTCTCAAAGGTTCATGACATCAACGCTTTTTCCTACATAGTAAAATACAAGCTAGCCGAGCATGTTCCAATCAACGGCAAAATTTCGTACACTCAACTGGCACAAAAGGCCAGTACTGGTCACGGCCTGACTCGAAAAATGCTTCGTCACCTGATGACTCTGCGCGTCTTTGCAGAGCCCGAGCCCGAAACTGTTAAGCACACGGCAGCCTCTAAGCTTCTTCTCGACCGTGGTACTTTCTTGAACACCAAGTTCATCTCCCACGACACGTTCCAAACGGCTGCCGTTCACCTAAAGGCTCTTGAGAAGTGGGGACACGAAACCCGGGCTCCAAACGAAACCGCCCACAACATAGCCCACAACTCAGACAAGCCTTTCTTTGAATGGCTTCGAGACGAACCTAAGGGGGCGCAGGACTTCGCCGATTTGATGGCGTATCTATTCAAGTCGTCCGCAAGAGGCCACACAAGTCTCCTGGAGTCTTACGACTGGAATAAGCTGGGAAAGATCACGATGGTCGATGTGGGTGGCAGCTCGGGTCATTGCAGTATTGCCATAGCAAAAGTCAACCCCGATATGACTTTCATCGTGCAAGATCTCCCCAACATTGCGGCGCAATCTAGCGACCCGGCTACCACGATTGTGCCGCCAGAGCTGCGGGACCGCATTACATTCCAGGGCCACGACATGTTGGAAGAACAGCCGGTGCTTGCCGATGCCTACTTCATGCGAATGGTCCTGCACGACTGGCCAGATGACTTCTGCGTCAAAGCACTGGCTAACATCGCCAAAGCCATGGCCCGCCGACAGGGCTCGCGCCTTTACATTGTCGATTCCGTTCTGCCAGCCCCAAGTGAGCTACTCACCGTGCTTGAGCGTCCGATGCGTGTTGCCGACCTGCAGATGACTATTATTCATAATGGTATGGAAAGGCAGCTTGATGAGTGGGATGCTTTATTCCGCCGCGGACATCAGGCTTTGGCCATTCAACGCGTTGTTCGCATGCCGCAGAGCCCCCATGCTATTATTGAACTACAACTGGATGAAAAGTTGCTGTGAACTTAAACTATTAGTTTATTGTTGCCAAATACCTAGCTTCTTATTGTTCACAATAAAGATAAATACATTGTGAAGTTTTATTAATCATATCCCCCTTGATTTCCTTTCTATGATTTTCCCGCTAGGTTCCCTCTAGCGATTACTATGTTCATTCTCATTCTTAATAATACTAGGTTGCACTTTACTATAGTAAGCTGTAAAGTCAAGATAATACAGAGGGGTGACACGAAAGAAACGTCACTTAAAAAGTTATTATTTTAAAACATTGATATCTAGCTAGAAAAAATAGCTAAAAACAAACAGATTATGTCAGAGAACAGGCAGGTAACAGGACGTAAGGATCTGAAAACAATAGGTACAGATCAAATTACAAGACGTAGCTTAAAGAGCTACGTATAGACAGCTAAACAGATTCTTCAGTACACGTAATTAGGCACGTGCTAGGGAGTGTCTAGGTAGATAGGTCTATGCACATGTCTATTAGGAGGCTTTATAGCTACACTATAATATTACTTCTCTTCTTATAGTTATCCTTCTAGATAACTCTTACAGCTTAGGCTTCTTAGAGTAACGCTAGTAGAAGATCCTTATAGCCTTAGTAGTATTCTTAAGCTAGTTTATAGGTGTAAGAGGCTACGCCTAAAGTGTGTGTGTGATCGAGTATATCTATACGACTACCTAGACTTCAAGAAGCTTGAAGTCTTGTTACTGCCTTTTTGGCAATGGATGGCGTAAGTAGTCGTACGCTCGGCCCGTTGGGCCCGCCCATTACAATAGGCTTCTTGTCAGACTGTGAGGGGTTTCTGATCAAGGACTGTTTTTGGGTCACTGTGATAAAAGACTGTGATAAACTTAAGTATAGAAACTGAGTGTATTGAGTTGTTGTGTGTTCTGTCGTCTGTAGGGGCGCGAGGGCGCGCCCCTTATAAGAGCTATCGCTATTGCTTTTTGTATTAGGTAGGCCGCTAAGTATCAGCCTCGCCTAGGGTTAGGTCTTGGCGATCAGCCCTGACTGGTTGGGATCACAGAATCCTGGTGCTCGAGTCCGCACCCGGATTCTGCCACTTATCTGACACTTCTCTATCAGTTTTTTATATTTTATTTAGTAGATAGTGTACTTTAGTTTTAAGTGTCTACTATAGCCCTAGCAGTCCTAATAAGAATCTATAATCTTATCTACTAACTATTCTTTTTCTCTATTAAACTCTATAGGTAGAGGGGGTTTATGTAAGGGGCTGCGCTCCGTGGAGCAAACGCTTAGGTATACAAGGATTGTATTCGATAGAGAGCTATCTACTCTACCTCGCACAGTGTTTATTTACTTATTAGAGAAAGGTTATACTAAGTGCTTATACGCGTTGTCTAAGCGCTGCTTAGGCGACACGCAGATGCTAGGTTATAAGGGTACAACCTAGCGTTTGTTATCTAAGCGTTACTTAGGCAACAACACTAAGATTCTATTAAGGAGCTATCTAAAGGGCGCTTAGCCTGTTACAATACCCCCTCTTTAGGCTAAAGTCGCACTGTCTCTTTAGAACCCTTCTAGGAGGCGGCCTTTACTGTCCTGTTTTGTCTCTATAAAGGCCTCCTATTAGTCTACTACTTCTACGTCTACTAGCAGGTCTGCTAGTTTAAGCGTTATTTAGTGGAAGCCTCTCTATTTTACCTTGTAGTATAGCTTACGCCCCCTTCTGCGGCGGCGTACCTCTTCTGCTATAATGTCCTCTACCTCCTATTCGTCTTCTCCGTCTACCTGCAGTAGCTACAGCTGCTCGTTGTCTTAGGCTTAGCTTAGCAGTAGGTCGTTGCTAGCGAGTTCTAACCTGTCCACATGGAATACTAGGTGAGGGCTAGGCGGGGTATCTAGCTAAACTAAATAGCTATCAACTACTCTAATCACAGTATACTTAGCGTTCTTCTAATTAAGCTTCTTAGAGCTCCGCCCTGTACTATACTGCTAGTTAAGTTTTAGCTAAACTTTGTCCCCTACTTAAAGGCTCTGTGCTTCCCTCCAAGTCTTGTTCGCCTGCCTCTCTTGTTCCTGTTATGCCTCTGCCATAGCAGCCTAGGCTAACTCTGTAACCTGCTAGAGCTTTAAGGCTATCTCTTACGCCTTCTATACGTCTAAGAGCCTTTTAGTTAAGTTTAGCTATTTTAAGCTTTCTTCTAGCTTAATCTATAGTAGGTTTACCTTATAGCTATGCTATAAGAAGAATAGTAATACGCCTATTAACGTGGCGACTCGCCTATTAATTGCAATCTAGGCTATAGGGTATAGCAGCGCCTAGTCGTTCTAAGCCTAGTTCGTAAAGGATTAGATATAGGTTTCCTATACACTATTTATCATCTTTATTACGCTATCTATCTACAGGTAATAGGCTATTAATAATCTCTAGTTAATCTTTAGAAGCTCGCAGAGCTTCGCCTATAGAGTACTTACACATTAGCTACTATAATCTAACGTAATCGCGTTAGGCAACTAGTAGTATATAACTACTTTTTTAATAAACTTTTAGACAACTATTTCTATCTAGGTGTTTAAGAGCGGCATAAAGATAGTGCCTTTGCTTAACCTGTCTATAATTACTATAAGGCTTGTTATACCTTTGCTTTCTAGTAGTCCTTCTATAAAGTCTATTAAGATCTCCTTCTAAATCCAAGCAGGAATTAGGAGAGGCTTAAGGAGTCCTTATTTGCCCTCCCTCCACGATTTGCTTCTCCTATAGGTATCGCAGTTTCTAACGTATCTTTAGATTGTCTATGTTATGCCTAGCTAGAAGTAGTCTCTTGTAAGTATCTTGTACATTACCTTACGTCCTAGGTAGCCTATTACTAAGGAGTTATGTGCGCTACTAACAATCTAGGTCTGTAGTTTCTCACTATTAGGCACCTATCTGCGTCCTTAGTACAGCAGTAGGTTATCTACTACTAAATAGTCTTTAGTTAAGCACTTTAGACTAAGGCTTAGTGAGAACCTCCTTCCCTGTTCTTTAATAGTCTTCTTAGCGCCTTAGTAGACTCTATCCTGCTGTACTACGTCCTGCTAGAGCTTCTCTAGCTTGTTCTGCTCTACTATTACTTGTTTAGTAGATAGTTCCTCTAAATTCTGCTTAGTAGTAGAGCAGGTGCGTATCCTTGTAGCAAACACCATCCTAGCCCCTACTAAGTCCTCTTTAGACAACTCCTTATAGTAGGAGTTTATAGGCTTAAGTATTTAGACGAAACGCTTCTATAACTATTTATCGTTTATTCTTATAAGCATATCCTACTCTTGTTATAAGAGCGCGTCTACTCTTACGTTCTATTTTCCTAGATAGTACAGCAGTTTTATATTATACTAACCTAAGAGCAACAACTACCTTATCTAACGCTTGTTTAGCATCCTTAGTTTTATAAAGTACTCTAGGTTCTTATAATCTATTATTACTTTAAACCTCTTAACTAAATATAGTTTAAAATCCTATTCTTCTAGGCAACGTATAATAGCTAGCAACTCCTTATTATAGATTTTATAGTTGCACTTATAGGCGTTATTCTTTTATAAGAAGTATACGCATAGTTGTAGAACTCCTTTATTATTATATTAAGATAGGATTCTAAAAATAGCGTAGCTAGACAAATTGCTTTTAAGTATTGTCTCGCGTTCTAGGTTAAAGGCTGCTAGCGTGGGTTTAAAAATAAAAATCTTCTTTAGCTTATAAAACGCTAATTGTTCCTTAGAGCCTTAGTAGAATAGGACGTCGCTTATAAGTCTTATAAGTGGCGCGGCCAGCTATAAGAAGTTTCTAATAAACCTTTAGTAGAAGTTTACAAACCTTAGGAATAACTAGACACCTTTTATAGTCTTAAAAGCTTCTTATTTATAAATTGCTGCCACCTTGTCTAGATCTATACTAATTCCTTTGCCTACTTTAATAATAAACCCTAGGTACTTAGTCAACTTAGTCTCAAATTCGCATTTCTTAATATTAACTTGTAGCCCTACATCTTGTAGCTTTCTAAGCACCTTTTAGACGTGCTCTCTATGCCACTTTAGGTTACTATCTATATAAATTAGTACGTTATCTAAGTACGCTAAATAGAACTTGTCTAAAAATTCCCGCAGGGTCTAGTTAATATACCATTAGAAGGTGCTAGGCGAGTTAGCTATACTAAAGGAGTAACTAGCTATTCAAATAGCCTAAATCGTGTTTAGAACGCTATTTTCCACTTATCGCCTTCTACCACATAGATTTTATAGAACGCTGCGATTACATCTAACTTCGTGAACTATTTCGCCTTACTTAAGTTATTAAGCGTCTCTTAGATTAGCGAGAGGGGGTACTAGTCCTTCTTTGTAATTGCGTTTAACGCACAGCATTATTATTATTATTATTATTATTCTAGTTTAACGTCCGTTTTCAGCCTAAAGGGCTATATAAGACGTGTAGGGTTTTTAGGCCTACAAGTATCTAAGTAGGTTATTTCTAGCTACAATATTTAGGAGGGGTTTTAACTGGATAAAGGTGAGGCTCGTAGCCTATTAGTTGGTAGGTAGGGGGGGGGGAGGATAGGGTGGGGGAGGTGTATGGCTACCTGTTACAGGTATTACTCCTCGTTTTCTGTGTTTCCCTTGTACTAGGCTTGTGTTCTAGCCTTTGTTTCTTGAATAAAGGTAATAGTTGCTTCTATACCCTATTTTGTTTAAAGGAGGATAGGTAGTAATAGATCGTCTTCGCAGGCTTCTC